GCTTCCAAAGTTATATGTGAAAGACTAAAATCTAGCCTAGAAGTCAGAAGAAACAAAGGAGAGTGTAGAACAGAAGGAAACAGGAGATCCCTCTATGCCGCTCAGCCAGAGTGAGGCAGAGCCAAATTTGGGACACTGGCTCAGACCCTAGCAGATATATGACCTTCAGCATGACCTCTGAGCCTCAAGAATTGCTAATGGTATTTATCTAGTAGCATTGTTAGCCAGCGTTCTGTCACTGCAACAAAATGTGTGAGGAAACTTTCAGAGAGGAAAGACTTGCTTTGACTCACAGTTTCTGAGGGTTCAGTCTATGGTTGTGTCTTTGGCCACACGGCTCTGGGCTTGTGGCATGGTAGCACAACATGGTGGGAGTGTATGGCACAGCAAGCTGTTCACATCATGGCAACTGGGAACAAAAGAGAAAAAGAAGAAAGGGCCAGAATCTCAATGTCGCCTTCAAAGCCATGACCCCTTGACCTAATTCCTTCCTACACTAAAAGCTCTACCACCTCCCAACTGTGCTACAGGATGGCATAAGCCTTAGCACATGAGCCTTTGGAGACATTTAAGATTCAGACCCTCAAGTTGTGCTGAGAATAACTGCGGGTTCATAAAGTGAAGTTATGCATGGGTGATTGGTTCCTTTCCGCTTTAACAGTTTGGAGTAGAGGCTACACATGGTGTGCAGAGTAAGATTCCTGCATTTACTGTGAACCTAATGAAGTAGTACTCACATTAAGGGTGTGATTATTTCAGGCCTGACATCACAAATCTAGACAAGGACATAGTTTACATTTTAGAAAAAAAATAGATGTGTGTTTCAATTCCAATTATATGACATTTTAATAAAGGCAAAACTATAGAGACAGCAAAAAAAGTCAGTGGCTTCCAGGAGCTGGTAAATAGAAAGGATGAGTGGACAGATCACAGAGGATTTCTACAGCGGCGAAACTCCTGTATACAGCACATTGATAGGACATGTTTTACTGTACATTTTTCAAAATGCATAGAGTACCCCACACCAAGAGAAAACCCTGAGATAAGGTGGGAATGATGGGTGATGATGAGTCGATATGGGTTCCTCACTGTAATAGCTGTGCCGCTCTGACACAGGCTGTTGATAGTGGGAGAGGGCTGGGAATGTTGCTCAGGGGAAGAACACTTGTCTAGTGTACACGAGGCCCTGGGTTTGGGCCTCAGCACATTGACACATATGTGAAAATCAAGGATAGTGAAAAAGGCTATACACAGAGAATAGATACATTATGACAAGGCTTTAAACTCCAGGCCAGTGTGAGCAGGTGACTTTCCTGTATTTTGATTTATGAATCAAGGAAAAGCATGAATTTGAAAAAAAAATGAGAAAATTCCCTGACATTGGAGGGTCAGAAACGTAGGATATAAGAGAAGGGCCTTGGGTGCTCTGTCTATCTGCATGAGATGCCAGCTCCTCCTACACCCAGTAAAGAGAATGTGGAAATAGAGAAACATTCTGAAACCCAAAGCCAGATCTCCAGCAGGGGCTGAGGTCTCCTGTGCCCTGGAAAATGGGAGATGTTCTTGGAATCATAGAGTAAAACAAGACCAAGTATTTCAGAAATGTGTTGTTATAAAAAGCCTAACTTGAGGAAGTTTCTGCTAAAAATAAGCAAGCCTATGAGATCAGAGGTGTTCCCTGAGGAACGAACTCCAGGTCTTGTGAAATCCTCCCTGGGAAGCTGCTAGAGACAATAAGGAAGTGGCTGCCTGCCACGTGTTGGGTCCCAAAAGGGGTATTTAAGGGGCTCCAGCAGGAAGAGGCATCAGACTCCCTCTGCTCTCCTGAGTCCTCTCTCCTCACCTCACCTGCGTCCTCTCTACTGACACCATGGGTTGCTGTGGTTGTGGAGGTTGTGGCTGTGGCAGCTGTGGCAGTTGTGGCGGCTGTGGCAGCTGTGGAGGCTGTGGCAGCTGTGGAGGCTGTGGCAGCTGTGGAGGCTGTGGAGGCTGTGGCAGCTGCTGCGGGTGCTGTGGCTGCTGCTGCTGCAAACCCATGGTCATCTGCTGCCCCTGCAGCTGTTGCAGCTCCTGTGGCTGCAGCTCTTGTGGCTGCGGCTGTGGGAAGGGCTGCTGCCAGCAGAAGAGCTGCTGCTGCCAGCAGAAGTGCTGCTGCAAGAAGCAGTGCTGCAGCTAGTGGGCCCACCAGCTCTGCTTCTAGGCTTAGCAGTGCTTGAGGTTTTGCTCATACTTTAGGTAAGACTTTTCCTCCACCCCTCCAGTCAACTTCTCTCTGCTCTACCTGCCTAGCTGCCTTGGATCTGCTTTCTGTCTCCTGCACTCTGAAGGAGCAGGGTATTTGTTTTCCCTCACAGCAGTACCCTGACTCCTTCACCTCCTCCCTGTATGTCCAGGACTTCGCAGCTAAGAGGTACATATTCTCTGTCATCTTTGTAATCTTGTCTCCATTTGGAAAAAATGTAAAAGCCAGCATAAATTATCAGCAATAGGTGGGAAGGTATAACCATTCACATCAAAAAAATGTATTTATTTTATACGTTTAACAGAAAATCGTGATAGTTAATATTTCATTTTCTTGAAAAAATGATTGACGATGAACTTTTTGTTATTTCATATTGTATGTTTACTAACTTCTTTCTCATTTCCAAGACTCTGTTTAAAGACAAAAAGCAACTCTTTTTAAATAAATAAATACAATCTGCCCTCATCTGAATGTGTCTCTGTACTCTGTAAGATGTGCGTGGGTGAAGCCAGCAGTGGAAGAGACAGTTAGGGACATCAAAGACTTGGCAGAGGTTTCAGTTAGTGGATGTTTGGTCCTATAGTGTCCTAGAATAGATTTTATGAGAAAGAAATTAGGGCGCAATCCTCAATCTTTGGCCATTCGAGTCATAAAGGAAGATTCCTGCCTTCTCCACCAGCTCTCCTGGTGCCGTGTCTGTAACAGCCAAATGCTAAGGAAGTCACCCCTTCACCCCATCTGCCCATGTATTCCTCCCATTTGATCGCTCAGCAACAGTGAGTCCTGTATTAAGACTGAGGCTGGGCTCTAGGGATGTGATGATAAACAAGCCTTTGCCCACAAGTTAGCACGAAGGAGGGAAAACAATCGATTCCGGCTCTCTGATGTCACACTTTCTTTGCTCGGTCACCCTTCTCCACATCCACATCAACTAAATAGGTTTTTGTGTCCGTTAGCACAGTTATGCTGACACAAGAGGCACGCGACGCATTGCACACGACTCAGGGCTCATCACACTTGCACGGGGCTTTTCCTCTGGCCTCCCTGTTGTACATAGCAGAGCCCTCTCTGCTCCCTGACAAACCTTCCTCCCCTCCCCTCCTCCCTCCTCCCAACACCCTTGCGCACCCTCTCCTCTGCTGCCTCCCCTCCTACTTTGCCTGTCTCCTCGGTGGCTTCCTTCTCTACCTGGCGGCTCCTAGTCTCAGGCTTCAGTTCTCAGGACCATCCTCTTACTTATCAGTTCTCCATCCTCATGTGATCTTCTGTTTTCTACTTTTCTTTTCCATAGCACTTCAAACTTTGTAACATACCATAACATTCATGAACTTAATGTGTTTTCTGTGGGGGATCCCCCTACCACACCTCATCCCTGTCCGGAACATAAAGTCCTCAAGGGAGAGATTTGTAACTGTGTATTCTTGTGTCCTGGCCACTTAGAACCCAATAAATAACTTCTGGGCTGGTGATTTAACTCGGTGGTAGAGCACTTACTTGCCCAGTCTGTGCAAAGCCCTGGGTTTAATCCCTGACACCATCAAGAAAGAAAAAAAACAAATCAATACCTTCTTAATGAGTGATTTTGCAAACTTTTTTTACCATAGAAAATGCCACACATGCACAGAAGTGAAGATTAGTGCAATACATATCTAAAAGACCATTGCGCAAGGCGACATTTACCAGCACCTGACCAGTCCCATGTCGTCCACGACCCCGTCCACACCCTTTGTGCCACTAGGTCAGACGGAATCTAATTCGGATCTCAAGTTACCGCATCTGTAAGCGTATGTCGCTTTATGTTCCTGTGCAAAAGACGGATTCTTTGCTTCCCTCCTCACGAGACTGGCTCTGAGAAATCAGCTAGACCGTAGTAGACTGCTCATAATCCCATTTAAAGTTATCTCAGGGAAAGGCGTGGAGGAAATCACCAGGCCCTCAACCTTTCAGGAAAGGTGTCACATCCTCGGGGAGACCCTTGCAGTTTAGAAGAGCACCTGTTTTCGGTGGGAGCGGGGCACTCCCACGCCCAGGGTGCAGCTCTGAAATTTGCAGGCAGACCTCCCCAAAGGTGAGAGGCTGAGGGAAGAAAATCCAAGACAGGGGCCCCAGACACCTGGAGAACTTTCAATCCACTGGACTTTTACTAGGAGCCCTTCAATTCAAGCAGTGTTTATCTTTAGGGGAAGTTTTATTTATTTATTTATCTATGTATATATTTTACTGCCACCAACGAATAAGCAAAAAGACAAGTTTTAAACATATCGACTTTAGCCAAAAAATGTATAATAATTAAAAAAGAAGAGCCCTTTGATGGCTGAGAGAGTAGCTCAGTGGTAGGGGGCTTACCCACCCTGTAGAGGGCTTGGATTGCATTCCCCAGCACAGCAAACCTGTCCTGATTGTAAACCCCGACTCTGGAGCCAGGATGTCCCAACATTTCCTTCTTCTTCAATTTCTTCCCATGCAAAAATAAGGATTTATAGAAAAATAAAAGGACTTGTTCATAAAAAGACCAATGACGGACGCTGCACTCCGTTTATCTTGCTTTATGGACCGTGATTGGGGGGCGGGGGTCAGTATGTTACTTGAAGTGGCTCCTTTCAGATAGAATGAACCGTTTCTGCTCAGGACACACCCGCTGGAAGAGCTCGGGTTCCGCCTCTGCAGCCCAGGCCCGAGAGCCTGAATACACATATGCAAAGTAGGGGCGTGGCCCCTGCCCCGGTGGGAACGCCCCCGCTGCCGGCCCCGCCCCACCCGAGAACCTACATCCTGCCAGAAACCCAGGTTGCTTGGTTATTGGATCAGCAAGCAGCCTTCCGCTAGGTAAGAACTTCTCCCCTCTCTCCCCCAGCTGGGAGCCAGATGAGGCCAGGCCTGCAGGACTCCCCGGGTGGCGGGAGCAGGTCCAGCGCGGCTTCCCGGTTCTGCCGCCTTCTGACTCTGCCAGCCCAGGAGCTGGGTGCTGGGGCCGGCCCAGCCGGGTTTGGTTAGAACTCCCTCGTGCAGCCACCTGGAAAAGCAGATTAAATAAAACAGCGATTCCAGTCAAGGGCCAGCATCTCCCAGGGGATAGCTCGTGTTTGCAAGTTCTAACTGAAGAGAAATTTCAGCACACAAGTCCAAACTTGCGTCCAGAGATGGTACAAAGTTCTCCCTTAGTGAGGAAAAGAAGGGTGTATTTGGAATTAAGAGAACAGATTAATTTTTAAACATCTTCTTGTTGCTCAGTTAAATTCTCTGTTGAGAACTATTTTAATTGAAATTTAAAAAATAGGACCATGCCTTACAGTACTCTTGCTGGGAAGGACACTTAATTCATCAAGTAACGGGGGTAGCACCAAGGCATCAACTCAGCGTCGCTGCTGTAAATGTGCTAAGGTTTGAGCTTACGATGCTGCTGGTTTGGAAAGGGTGAAGGAGGTCATGCGTTCCAAAGTGATTCTCACAGGGCTGAGGGCGCAGTGCTTGCCTCGTATGCACAAACCCCGGGTAGCATCCCCAGCACTGCAAGAACTTAATTACTTAATTACGTTAATTAAGTTATTCTCACAAAGGAGTTTTGCTCCTAACAGTATCAGAACACATTGCTGTCTCCCAAGGCAAAAGGTGTTTTTCATTGAATCACATGTTTTCAAGACTAACACATAACTAATTTTGCACATATGTTTTTTCTTCACCACTGCCATAGTAACTAAAATGGACAAAAATAACTATTTTTTTCATCATTTTTGCTAACCGAAACATTTGTGTCATGGAAATGCAATTCAAGAATATTAAAGAACAAAATTACAGCAGTCGAGTTTAATCATTTTAATCGGCTTTATTTGCTATTCTAGAACATTTCATCCCGTACAGCATTTTAGTAGACTAAGCTGAAAATGTTTGTTCCACAGACAGAGATAAGGTGAAGAAAGCACAAAGTCAAAGAACTGATCAGTTATTTGAAAGTTACTTTCTTCAAGAGGCAGGGACAGAGGTAGAAGAATAGAGAGAAAAACTGATTAGTTGGTTAGTCGGTTCAGTTTTTTCGGGTTACTTTTGCAGGGAGGTACTGGAGATTGAATCCAGAGCTTTTGCACTAAGCTACAGCCCAGTCTTTTTTTTTTTTAATTGATGTATGTTTGCAGTATATAATAATTACATTCATTTTGGGGAATTGGTACATATACATCACATCGTGATCGTGTTTGTCCCCTTTCCCTCCCCTGTTCTACTGTCCCAACTCTTCCTGACTCCCCCATCTCCAAGATCTCTACCTCTTTGTTTCTTCACCTTAATAATTTTAGGAAGAGGGTAAAGTTGTGACTACTGTAAAGAATTAGCACGTTAAACATTTCACTTAACTCGGTGATGAGAATTCTGATACAACCAGACAGCATATAACCAAAGAACGGATATATTTATAGAACAGAAATATGGACTATTGAGTAATAAAATACAGATCCAGAATACTGAAACTGTTTTCCCTTGGAAAAAAGGGAAGAATATTGCCCCTTCACTAGAAATAGCATATTTACAGGTAAAATGTAAAGAATCACTTCACGTTGTTATCAGTTATCATAATTACAGAATTGGAAGGTAGTGTGAACAATCCATAGCTTTTCTTTGAAGAATGAATTTTCCCCACTCCGAATCTGTACCTTTGACCAGATACCTACACTGCAATTCCATGGCTATGTCTGAGAAGTTACATTAGCACATACCTTCCGCAAGTAAAAAGGAATGGTACTGTATGCGATTACACAGAACACACAGGGCGTATGTTCAAGACAATTTGGTTTTGGCAAGAAGCAGAACTATTCGGACCTGTTGGTTGAGAATCTGGCCCTAGTTCAAACCTTTTGAAGTGTGGGATGCTTCCTTTCGCAAAGATTTCTTTTTGAAGGGTTGGCATAGCATTATCAGTGAGTGAGAGGTTCCTTTGCAGTTTTCTGAGAATCTAGTGATTTGGAGAAACTAAACTGTTAGTTTAATAACATTCAGAGGAAAGTTTTGTTTTTTGTTTTTTGTTTTTTTTATTGTACACCTCTCTAACCATTTTTGTTTCAGAAAGACAGGAATCCGGGTGTTTGGATTTGTTCAGGGGATTTCAGAAGAGAGTGGCTGCCTGAGGGTGTGGTCTCCAGGGCATGAAGAAATCGGAAGGGAAGGAGGAGTCACTGCTCTGGCAGTGTTTCTGAAGACAGACTCTGAGGACAGGGCACCGTGGTGGGGATTTGCAGTTGTAGACAGCCGGAAGGAGCAGAGGTTGATGTGAAGGCAAGAGGCCAGACCCGATTCCACAAAAAGATAAACTCCGGCCACAGCAAGAAGAGGTAATTCTGATTCTATCTCACTCAAAGAATGCTCTCTGTCGCTTGATTTGTGGGCCTGTCCTAGCTTTTTGATGTATGGGCATTATTTCCATTCTAAATATTCTTGAACAGACTCAAGTCCAAAGATCTGTTCTCTTTCCTGATGGTAGAGAGGCCTTTTCCTGATGTGAAATTTGGAATAACCTCAGTCGGTGCACGGGGAGGAAAAGTCAAGGGCTACAGAGCTGTACACAGAAAAAAATGCTTTGGAGGGGGAGCATAGTGTGTATTTCCTTAAATTGGGGTACAATTTCCATGTCATACAGAGTACATATTTTATGTTTGAATGTTTATAATTATATACATCCATGTAACTATAGTCCATCAAGACAGGATATTTGACTAATAATCAACCCAATTCCCTCTTGTAGTCCATCTCGGTCATCCCTAGCCCCTCCCCAAAAGTAACATAATCCTGGTTTTTTGTTTGTTTTTTTTGAGATAGGGTTTCACTTTGTAGCTTAGGCTGGCCTTGAAATCATGGCCATCCTCCTGCCTCAGCCTCCCCAGCACTTAGAGCAGAGGCATACTGCACCATGCCCAGCTAAGTCTGATTTCTATAAGCTTCAGGTATTGTAGTTCTGCCTGCTTTGGGACGTCTATAAATGAGTCCTAAAGTACACCCTTGTTGTATCTAGATGCTTTCAAGAAGCATAGTGTTAGAGATTCATTTATGCTGTTCCACATACCAAATCACCTTTGTTGAGATGTAGTTTTCATATAATGAACTGTGTAAGCGTGCAGTGCAAGAGTTCAGACAAATTTTTATACCCATCACCACTACCAAGTTGTAGAGCATTTCCACCACTCCAGAAAGTTGTTGTGTTTTTCTGTAGTCAGTCCCTTCCCTTCCTCTCATCCAGGCAACCACTGATCCACTTTCTTTGTTTTTCTTTTGAGACAGGGTCTCAGCTGTTGAGCTCGCTACATAACCTAGGCTGGCCTCGAACTCACAGTGGTCCTCCTGCCTCAGCCTCCTGAGTGAGTGCTGGGATCATAGGCATGGGCCACCACCCCTGCTCCACTTTCTGTCACTAGTGATTAGTTTGCTTGCTTTAGGATTTTATATACCATAATGGAACCATACATTTTTCTGTCTGGATACTTTGGAACACCGTGATGTTTTTCTTATTCATTCTAGTTTGCAGCAGTCCACTACTTGTTATTGTGGATTACTATTAGTTGTTTTACTGCACCATATTATATATTCATTTCCCATGTAATGGACACTTTAGTTGCTTCTCATTTTTTCACTAGTATGAATATGTGAACTTTCCTGGTTAGCTAGCAAAATGATTTTCCAATGGGTAGAATTTTACATTTCTATAAGCACTGGATACAAATTCTGTGGCTCAAAATCTTTACCAACACTTGGTACGTTAGTCTTTTTGTACTTTCTCATGTTAGTGGTTGTACCATGTTTTCTTACATTTTAATTTGTGATTTCTGGTGACTATGTTATCAGCTAGCTCGTTCTAAAAGCAGCTCGCTAACTAAACATTTTCGGATTCTGGGTTGCTCGCCTCTCCCTCTGGAGTTAGGTTCCAGGTTCTTCTTGTCTCAAACAAAGAACTGAAAAAAATGAGAAGGAAAAAACAGTAACAAAGTTTATTCGGGGAAGTAAAAGTGAAGAGTGGGAGAGAAATTGGCTCTGTAAAGTGAGCTTGGGTCCAGTAAAGACAGAAAGAGGGGGAGAGCAAAGATAAAAGTACACGCTGCACCTGAGAAACTTAGCAAGAGCTCTGGTGGCAAGTTCAGATAGCAAGCTCGTCATGTGGTCTGGTGTGGCCATTTATTCCATCCAAATTCAGTGGAACTTCTACATCCGGGTCCTGAGAGGCTGTGCTGGGCTCCCATGTCTCAGGCTGAGGTCAGGTCTATTGAAACCCCGTGGGAGTTCTCGCGAGAAGCCCGGGCACTAGGCCCTGGGAACTGCTCTGGGCGTGTGTCCCTGTGGGTCCAGGATGGCTACATGACTAGTAGAGGGTGTGGCTGGAATTGGGTGGAGGTTAAGGGATCTAGGTCATTTCCTTCTACATTATTGTCATCTGGGTTGATGCTGACAGTGTCTTCTAAGCAAATGGGGAAGGAATATGATAAAAAGGTCCTTCCCACTGTCCTTGCAGAGACAGGGCTGGGGCCATCCTCGGTCTCAAAGGGCCCCAGCGTACTGGCCATGGGAAGACAGCTCCATCTTCTGTGGTGGGTAGAAGAATCTGATCAACCAAGGCTGCTCCTGGGTCCAAAACCTATGCAAAACTTTAGGAGTCAGGAAACCCAACAACGCCTGCCAGTTTCTGTGGGCCTTGTTTTTTTGTTTGATTGCTTGGTTTTGGTTTGCTTTCTTTTAGTGTATGTCTGTAATACCTAATACTTACATCCATTTGAGAGGTCAGTACATGTATGTAGCATATCCTGAGTATTTTCAGTCCCTCTCTCTTCCTCCCCATCTCTCCTCCTCCCACCTACCCTTTATTCCCTTCTTCATCTCCAATAATATCTGGAACTCAAAAAAAGAAAAAGAAAAAAAATAACCCCCAAAACAAGTGGCTCAATCAGAAAAATGGGCAAATGAACTGAAGAGACATTACTTTTAAAAAAAAAAAAAGGTCTCTTTTTTAATAGTTGTTTATTCTACATGAGTGGAAAATAAACCTGGAAATATCTGTAGCCCTAGTTTTTGTGTATAGACACTTTACATGTACACACAAGCAGCCTGAGGACTGGGAAATATGACACTGTCCACGTCCGAAAGATAAGGTACATGTTGACATAGGTCCTCAACTAAGGATATATGATTCTCCAATGCACACGTGAGCAGGATATGAAGATTCTCCAATGCACACGTGAGCAGGATATGAAGATTCTCCAATGCACACGTGAGCAGCATATGAAGATTTTTATGTGCAAATTACAAAAAAAGGTTTAGTTGGTGCAGTGCCTTTGTCAGTTAAGGGTAACTGAAAGAAATTCAGCAGTGGGATCAGGAAATAGATCCTAGATTTCTTTTGTAACTCACTCCAATAAAGCTTTTTTTTTTTTTTTTTTTTGCTTATTTTTAAAAGAGAAAAATCTCTTTTCTATTACCTCAGAATTAAGATGACAGATGAAGTTATCTTGCCATTGATATAAGAACCAGGTGCTTAAAATATGGTACCACTTCTAGCTGTATAGAAAGGAACAATTCAAAGAAGCGGTGAATGCGGAAAAAAGCAGTAACGTAGTAATAACTGGAATAAAGGAGAAGGCAATAAATTGGACTCTGATACTATGAAATAGCAAACATGTAAGAGGTGGCATAAAAAGAAATTTTCCCAAAGTGGATGAAAGCAAAACTTGTGAGGGACAACTTCATCCAGACTTGATCACAGTCAGAAGACAAGTAAATCTTACATTTGATGGGAGATAAAGAAAAAAATCATTAGCCCTTTAAAATGAAGTGGGATTACATATACTAGCAAGAGAGTTACTATTTTTCAAAAAGCTGCAACACCTCACATATCCTGAAGGGGAAGCACCAATAAAACAGGTGGTCCTGCCTGGCATGGTGGTGCACACCTGCAATCCCAGCACTCAGGAGGCTGAGGCAGGAGGATCATTGTGAGTTTGAGACCAGCCTGGCTACAAAGTGAGCTCAAGGCCAGCCTGAACTGCATAGTGATACCCTGTCTCAAAAAAAAAAAAAAAAAAAAAAAAAAAGGGAGTAAAATAGGTGTCCTCATGTGGATATGTCAAAATGGGACCCAAATAAAGAGTGCAAGAAACCAGATATTGGAGAGGTAGAGCACTAAAGGGTCCCCAGGGAGGGACAGCTGCAGCTTTCTTTTCATTAAGAGAAAAAATAATTATTATTCCCCTACCAGCATAAGGAGACAGAGGCACATCATTTCCAAGGTGATATGGGTGGTCACCTCCAAAGCAAAGGTGCTGGTGGTCTTCGGGACTCCTTCAGGTCACACCTGCCAACTGGGTTAGCCTTTCTGCTGTGTAACCCCAAAAGGCCTGTGGCTGTATCCCCAGGGTCCACGTAGTGTGCTGCAATTGAGTCAGAAGAGGTGCTCTTTGGTCAGTTGTGATCTGCCGCGTCCTCGAAGCTCCAGGGAGAGCTGAGGCCAGAGCTCAAGGTGCACCTCCTCCATCTGCCATTGCTGGCCAGTGGTCTCACACTGACCCCTGTCTCCTGGACACAGGTTCCAGCCCACCAGGGCGAGCCCTGGCCTCAGAGCTGGCCCGGGTGTGTGCTACAAGGAGCTGATGAATTCAGCCTTTCTTATTACTTCCACTTCCAGAATCTTCACTAACGTGACATTCACTCAGCATTTTGTTATGATGGCCTGATAGGTTGGCTTTTGTTCAGGGAATGTCTTTTCTTCTCCTTAACCTATTACCTGGACAATGTTCTTATACATTTTTTTAAACTGATGATGGAGCAGATGAATAATGGGTGGATTAACTGCCATGGAGCAACCTTTGAAAGGATTAACTTCTTAGGAAAGTGCAGAAATGAAGGGAGAGGGTGAATCTTGCTTTCAAACATAACAGCTCAAAAAATCTACCCAGTTCATGTCCTAAACTTACCGGCAATGAAGCAAAAGGAAGTTGAGAGTTCCTTTAGAAGACAGTTAACATTATGGTACCAAAATGGAATGAGAAATGGAAAAATGGCAAAAGAAAAGTCTGCCTCAAAAGTCTGCCAGTACTTAGCATCAAGTCTGAGGTCCTCGCTGTTAGACCTCCCAAGTGTCCTATGACGCCACTCCTAGGTGTGATTATGGAGGACGTGTGTGTGTATTTACTCCTGTTCTTTCCTCTGCAACTCCTAACCCAGTGATTCTATGCCGAGTCCCACGCAGCTCTTGAAATTCCCAGGGTGAGGACACTGAGAGGATGGAGAAAAAAAGGACAAGAATCGGGATACACAAAGCTAAGGCCAGAGGGAGCGCTCTCTCCTGATGGGAAGGAAGGAAGAAACAAGAAAGAGGAGAAGAAGGGAGGGTCCCAACAGCTGCAGCGCACTTTTGTATGCACGCAGGAGGCTGACTGTCACTGAGACCCCTCCACCTAACAGCTTGTCCACGTGGCTTGCCTGGCACACCCAGCGTTCTTGAGACTGGAGCAGCTTCTTTGTGTGACTCGCCTCAGGTGCTCTGCGTTCTGAGGCTGGCCTTGCTCCCGCCCCACGCGTGTGATCGACCTCCAGCTTGAGCCGCTTCCCACAGCTGTTCCTATAGTAAGTGAGTGTGTATTGTGGTCTTATATGTATACTTTTACATATGCCCTGTCCAAACAAAAGTTGGGAGAACATTTAGCCTCATTCTGCAATGCACTCTGATAGTTAATGTTTTTGCATCCCTTTTGAAACATACCGTTTGAAAACTCACTCAGTTTTTTGACTGCATGATCTGAAAAACACTACTCTTAAATAACCTAGAATTGGAATTTTGAGGATATAGCTGAGCTGTCTTAACACAGAGTAAGAGAAACGGTTAACGAAGGTGGAATTAGAAAAACGGAGTCAAATCCAAGCTCTGGTGTGAAAACCAGCACAGATCTATTCTCCTGGCCTTGCATTGCCCCTCTATAATGTTAGGATCTTTATCTACCTCACAGAATGGCCAAAACTTAGTTTCCCAGATATAGAAGTTATAGAAAGATATTGTGCGAGTAATTCTGTTATCATGGTGATAGTCATAAGGACAAAGAAAGCAGACTTTCTGCAATGAGAACACAGAAGATGATGGCTGATACTTAATGGCTTCCACGCAGTAGTGAGACCTTTAGCTGTGAGCTTCCCACCAGAAGCGGTAATGTGACTTTGTGAGAACACAGGCCACTTTCCCATTTTACAGATGAACAAGTGGACTTCAAGGCACTTGTCTAGTTGAAGACCTTCCTGGCCTTTCACTGTTGCCCCTGGCAAGTGAAGCACCCTCAGGAGAGCCACACAGCACCTGTCTTCTCAGAGCGAGGTTCGACTTTCGCACCTTCTGCAGTCCCGCCTGCCCTAACTCCTACACTCTGGTCTGTTCCTATCACCTGCCCCACTCCATCCCCACCTGTGTCCAACTACGCTCTCAGTTGTTTATTCAGTCTCTTGGCACCCTCCTGGAAGGCGTACTACGTGTCAGGCATTACGTTCTATTCATGTAAGGTAGAGCAGTGCGCCAGTCAGCATGCCCTTTGGGGCTTATACTGTACTTTAGAGGAGTATATTAGATTTGTCTGCCTGGCTTTCCCAACTAAATCTAGTCATGCAGCTATGTTAAAACTGTAAGGAGACAAAGGACTATCCAGAGGGCATAGTTCTAGGTCTCTGAGGTGCTTGGAGAAGATGACTTGGAGTTAGTGTCCAAGGCCATGGTCAGCATAGATGAACAGAATGTTGCAGATAGAGTCAGCAACTGCCACCCATCAAGACTACCTTTCAAAGGAGAACCAGGCCTCAGTCATCGGATGCTCAGGAAACTTTTCTTTAAGACCATAAATTACAAAAAAAGAAGAACCCAGCAGACTCACAAGTATCCCATGAAGGAAGGAAAACCCGTGCTTTCTGTGCTGAGGGAGTAAGTGGAGGACGGTGAGCTTTGATCTGCTGTTGGCAAAATTTTCACACTGGCAGTCAGGATAGCTCACTGCTGTTGGAAACCTGGTTAGAAAACCGTGCTGCTCATTCGGCTAAACTACAACGTGCAGAGGGAGCGAGGGGAAAGCAGTGGTAGCAATCAGAGGAGCAGGGGATGGAACCGGACCACAATCCTCAGAACAGGAAAGGGCGTCGGGCCAAGGGTGGGGACGGATTTTACTGGAAGAGAAACAAAGATTGAACACCAAATATGAGAACTTTTAATTTGAGATGAGACACTTAAAGCAGCCTTCAAAGGCCCTGGAATGAGAAGAACAGCTAGTTTCCAACTAGTGTAGAAAGATTTTATATATATATATATAATTGTAGAATGGGAAATTTGTCAACATTGGCCATAGAGGTTAAAATCAGTCATTGCTCCAACTACAAATGTTACTAAAAACTACAGAAGACAAGGCAAATGGGCGTATAGTCAGTTAAAAACATAAACTGCACAATTTAGAATTTAAAAACTCATCAGTCATGGTATAGTTATGGAGTTAGGGAGCTAATAATAATTACAAAATCTACTTCCCGACATTGCATACCGCAGAAGTGGACAGAAAGCTCTGTTTCACATAGTCACTCAAGGAGCCACTCTAGTGTGATCCCTACAATCCTGTAGCCTACTAAAGTGGCTGCAACAGAAGAAAAGAGACTGAGGAATTGGGCGTGGGATCTGTGGTGTCTGAGGCCAACTGTGACACATGCCTCTTGTGCTTACATTCCCCTAACCAGAGAAAATCACATAGTTGTATCTAACTTCGGGGGTGCTGAGAATTGTAAGGAAGCTAATAGGTATTGATTAATATCCATGTTCCTGTTACCCAGGAAAATAGTTATGTGGTCGGGTATAGAATATGCAATACATACAAAAGTGTTGCAATAAATAACACAATTGGGAATGGGTAAAATGACACTTTTGTCAGTTTAAGTGAGTGAAAGAATATGTAATACAATAATAGCACAGTCACCTAATAAAATAAGAGGAAAAGTAATAACAAATATTGATATACTGCAAAAAAGGAAACTATCCTAACAGGAGGTTTTAAAGTAACACTAAATTACTGATAGGTCAAAAAGGCCATAAAATACCAGTGATGATATAAAATGCTTGAATAATAAAATAACCAATTTTGATTTCATATGCATTCAAGAATCCATATTAGTTTCAAGTACCCATGTGTGAATTAGAATAATTCATCACTTATTAGACAATAAATATATTTCATGAAGTACAAAGATTATTTTAAATTTACCAGCAATTCCATGAATAATGCAGTGTTGCCTAAATAAATTTATTTTCCATTCAAAAAGAAAAGCTGCTATCTGGGACCACCCATGAAAGGGAAAAGAGGGTGACAAGCCATGGTGTGACTCTGCGGGTTCCGCTGTCTGGATCCCTGGGATTCTACCAGGTGACTTTCTCTTCTGGGATGAATGAGCCCTCTCACACGTCTCTGGCCCACTTTCAAACTACAGCTGCCTTTGGAAGCTCTGTATATTAAGCCCTAACCTCTAGTATGGGCCAGTTCATAAAAATACTTTCTTTCCTCAGTGTGGATTAGTGCAAAGCAGGAAGGGACACCAGAATGACGACAAGGGGTTGGGATGAGAGGACCCTGGTGGTTTTGCGAGGTCTTCATTCAAATCTTAACCATGTAGTTTGAGTCCCCTTGCTGGACATCCTGAATCTTCCATATACTCAACTTTGAATTTGGGGAAATAATGTATTTTATAGAATTACTAGGCTTTCATGAGATTGTATGCAGAAAAGTGTTCATAAGACATTAGTTTCCTTCCTACAAATTATCTCAGACATTAACTCAGTCAAGGTGAGCAAAACTAAATTTTGCAACATTGTAAAGTTTGATCTCTGACATGAAGAAATAAGCATGAATTTTTCCGTTCACCCTGCAGTCCACATACAAAAAGCAAGATGTTTGCAAGTGTCACCATCATAAAATAAAGTTGGGTTTTTGTTTGCTTCCTGTGTGATGATGCGGGAGATCCCATGGTACTGGGTTTTGTGTTTAAAATTTGAATATAAAGTGATTTCTACATTGGGAAAAAGCGTGAAGTCTTAATGAGTCACTGGCCACATTGACGTGGTTCCAGACAGCAGCATAATTTTCCAACCAGGTTTCCAACAACGGTGAACTGTCTTGATAACATGAAAATTCTGCCAAGCGCAAATCAGAACTTACCACCGAGGAGACTTAGACTAACAAAAACAATTCTTGGCAACAAAGGCAAGGCAAGGCACATCACAATACCTAACTTGAAATTATACTGCAAAGCTACTATGATAAAAATCAGCATGGTACTGGCAAAAAAATAGACCTGAGGTTCAGTAGAATAGATTAGGGTATTTGCTTTCTAAGTAACCCATTTAAAGATATCAATATGTAATATATCAACCATTGTTAATTTCCTATCACCTTGTCTGAAATTCTGTATTGCTTTTGTATTATTTTGTAAATGTATGTGTGTTTGTTAATATGTTTTCATTCTTTTATCTTTAAAATAAAAAAAGAATAGATTAGAAGATGCAGGCACAACTACATACACACTCAGCCACTTTAGCTTTATCTCAGCCACCGATAAACACAGTCAGCCACAAAGGGGCCAAACATGTTCACTGGAAGAAAGATAGCCTTTTTAATAAATGGTGCTGGAAAAACTAGCTTTTCACATGCTGAAGACTAAAGCTAGACCCAAGTCTATCATCATGCACTAAACTAAAGTCAAAATGAATCAAAGATCTAAACATTAAAACAGAAACACTAAATCTAATGGAAGAGAAAATAGGTGAAAATGTTGAAGACATAGGGGTGGCCACAGACTTCATGAACAAAACCCAGACTGTGTGGGAAATACTACCAAATATCACCAACTGGGATCTCATTTTTTATAAGGCTTTCACACAGCAAAAAAAATCATCAATAGAGTGATAAGACAACCCACAGAGTGGGAAAAAATTTTACCCAGTTGTCTCTCAGGCAAAGGACTTTTATCTAGAACATATAAAGAATTGAAAAAAAAATCAGACCCCCCAGCATAATTTTTTTAACTGAAGGATTATGAATTCTTAAAAGACTGGCGACACCTCTTAAATACCTCAGATGTCTGCTGAGTGTCCAGCAAAATGCTAGGTAAGGGCCAGTCTAAAGAGGAGGTGAATGTGTAAGTAAACAAATGTTCCATATGGTAAGAGTCTCAGAATTGGTGCAGAATGGAGAGGTCAGATGGTACAAAGTTTGATTTAATTCAGTCTGTGCTCAGTTGGCAGTATTCGTCCACCTACCGCATATACACCAGTGAGTCACTAGCTAATATTTTACTTGGGTTTAAGGATGCCTTGGCTCATTGTCGATCATTAATTATTAGCTCTGCATAACCACACGTGTGCTGAAGAGCACTAAAGAAATATAACTGACTGTTCCTCCAACAATAATGAAAAAAGTTCATGGACCTACGGAGTATTTGAGAGCAGTTTTTCATCACTAGCTTTTCAGTTTCAATTGCAGATGAACAAAACATTATCCTTGCTTAAAACATTTTCAGGGGTTGAGATGATGGATCAGTGGTACAGCACCAGGCTAGCACGGTCAAGGGCCTGGATGTGACCACCAGCACCAGAAAAAAATAGCAATAATTAGGTCTTCACTATATCCAATGTACCAAGAAGAGTAAATGTTATTTAATTTTTGCTTTATTTCCATTTGATTAGCGATGGATTCTTTTAGAACTTCACGAAGCAATTCCTGGATTTTTCCCACTGTGATCCTCTGCTTATTTGGATTTTTCTCTCTGATGAGACCATCAGAACCATTCCTTATCCCATATTTATCTGGACCCAATAAAAACCTGACCAGCACAGAGGTAAGTCAATACACATCCATAAATTAATGTGGATTAATTTTACAGCACTTGAACAAGGACAAAGGGCTTCATTTGACTTCAGTGAGTCCAATTTTCATAGCATTTGTCTCATAACAGAACTACTCTTTCCTCCTTATGCTTGCAAAAATGGGCATCCAAAATATACTATATGTACAATAAATGTTTTTACTTTGGCTGAATCCTAACATTACACCTAATGCGTGGGAATCTTCCAGGTCTCCACTGCTTCTATAATACTTATACTGAAATACAATTGATGCCAGTCATACAATTTAATCTAATAAACTGGTGGACTGCTAAGGTGTAAACAGCATCTAATAAAGATTTATGCATATTATTCTGCAAATTATCATGATGCATATACAGTTATGCATCACATAGTGATGATGCTTCAGCCAACACTGTGACAATGATGTGGCAACGATGATTTCATAAGATTATAAGGGAACTAGGGGCTGGGGATTTAGCTCAGCGGCAAAGCGCCTGCCTGGCAAGCGCAAGGTCGTGAGTTCGGTTCCCGGTACCGGAGAAAAACCAAAAAAAAAAACCAAGATTATAAGGGAACTAAAATCTCCCTATCACCTAATGACGTCATAGCCAACCCACACCATGGCGCAATGCATTCTGCACACAACTGCGCTGATTCCGGGAAGAACAAATGTGCACTGCCACTCATACAAGAACAGAACATACACCACTGTGTACAGTATGTAATATTTGGTAATGATAACCAAGGAGTGTTGTTGGTTTATGTACTTAGCGTTCTGAACTTTTTGCCGTTGCCTTGGAGTGTACTCCTACTTATTAAAATAAAAATTTACTGTGAGACAGTATGGATAGTACAATAGCAAACTCATGCATCGTGTGTTGACGTTATCCCTGAGTACAGTATTTTCTCTCCTGCTTTAATCTTGTGTTGTTTTGTTCTCCATGGCCCCAGGAACAACAGGCTATGCTTTATATATGCCCGGTACCATAGATGTGTGGTACCGTCCTGTTTGTACACTCTGAGGTTTGTCAATGAAGAAAACTGCCCTGTGACCCATTTGCTCTGGCAGAGCAAACTCTCTTTGTGAAGCAGTGCATGAAAGCATTTCTTCAGTTCTGCTAGTTAGCAGCAGATGTGACATGAACAGCGTTTCCTCTTGGCCCTACCTCCTTCTCTGGAAAGCCTGTCATTTCAGTGTACACTCTTTACCAATATTAGTGCTCTTTGAACAGAAGGAAATGGGGGTTTGTAGGAACTTGGGAAACCCGCAAGTGTCTGAAAAGGTTACAATAAAACTTAATTTACTCAAATGTATATACTAGTTAAACTTAAAATATAGCTCAGACCACACATTGTCCCAATATATCCTTCTACTGGGATAGCGCAAAGTAAATACATTGTTTGGGTTTCTTTGCCTTTTTTCTTTCCAGGCACGGGGGTTTTGTTTTAGGGTTTTTTTTCCCCCAATGAGAAAGGGGACTCTTTTCTCAATGATTTCTTTGAAAATCAGTTTTTTCTCATGCTTTCCACTCTGAGGAATACCTGATAAAATGCAGATACTGTGGTCCAAGCCACTTGTCCTTTAGAGATGTGCTGGAGCTCCCCGGTCACACTATACCAACTTCACAGATCACGAACGAGATCCTTCCCGTGTGGACCTACTCCTACCTGGCGCTCCTGCTCCCCGTGTTTGTCCTCACCGACTACGTCCGCTACAAGCCAGTCATCATCCTCCAAGGCGTGAGCTTCATCGTGACCTGGCTGCTGCTCTTGTTCGGCCAAGGAGTAAGAGCCATGCAGGCCGTCGAGTTCGTCTTTGGGATGGTCTCGGCCACCGAGGTGGCCTACTACGCCTACATATACAGCGTGGTCAGCCCTGAGCACTATCAGAGGGTGAGCGGCTACTGCAGGAGTGTCACGCTGGTGGCCTACACTGCAGCCTCGGCGCTGGCCCAACTCTTGGTGTCCCTGGCGAACCTGTCATACTTTTACCTCAACGTCATATCCTTGATCTCTGTCTCTGTGGCCTTTTTTTTCTCACTCTTTCTACCAATGCCTAAAAAGAGCATGTTTTTCCACGCACAACCCAGCAAAGAAGTTCCTCCAAAGCCACCGGGGAAGGATGCTGCCCTAGGGGAGGCTCAGGAGGATCACGGAGCAGATCAGCAGAAATCATTCCGCATTCCCGAGAATCTGGGGGACAGCCTTATGGGCAGCCGCAAGACTGGAAGCATGGTTTTGAGGATTTTTGTGCAGTGGTTCCAAGATCTGAAGGAGTGCTACTCCTCCAAGCGTCTGTTTTACTGGTCCCTGTGGTGGGCTTTTTCCACGGCAGGTTTTAATCAAGTTTTGAATTATATTCAAATCCTGTGGGATTACAAGGCACCATCCCAAGACTCTTCCATCTATAATGGGGCGGTAGAAGCTATTGCAACATTTGGAGGTAATTTAACATCTCTTTATTTTCTTTTCCCCCTTAAGTTCATTTCTCCAGGTACTAAATTTCTCCATGGTAATACATTAGCTCTTTTCAGAGGTATAATAGTATTTTTTCATGAATGGAAGGCACTTGAAAAATAAGTAGTACCGTGACATTAATGTGTTATAGTTACAAGAAAATCAGGAGCTCAGAGCTTAGAACCAATGAAATTCTAGCAGAACCCTCCAGATCCCATCTCCTCATGAGGAAAAATCCTGACAGTGTGCTGTTCCTTCAGCATTGTTAATATTGTAAAGAAGAAAGTGTATAAGTAAGGAGTTACTAGTTATTTTAAGAAGAACATGAGGCTTTGAAAGCCTTCCTGGGGGACTCTTATTGATCTAGCCAAGACACACCTTTAGCAGTCCCCGGGTGTAACCAGTAATTTTCAAAAATAGCCTTCTGTGAGATGGTACGGGGGAGAAGGCATTAAGAACCAGTACTCTAATATCAGAGGAAAAGTTGCCTTTGAAGTTCACCAGACAATATTTATATCCTAGTAAATGCCAACATAAACATCAAGTCAGACTTTGAAGATATTTTTCCGGAAGTGGGTCTTTTTTTTCCACACCCTTATATACAAAATGTTTATATACAAAATGTTTCAGAAAACCCATGTGACCCAGTTTTATGATTGTTTCCCTTTTAGGAAGCCTCCATGTAACTCGTAAATACCAGGACAGTGCCAGAATTGGCTCCTCAAAACGATTGTGCCTGCATTCCAAATTCTCAGGGAGCATAGGCCTCTGGGGATGTGGCTCTTTCCTAGGTCACACATGAGAAAGTTAATTCGCCATTTGGCAGTCATTTGAACCTAAGTGCCTTTCATTTTGTTAGAGAACCGTAATAATATTTTTAATTATTGACAATTATTAACCTCTTGTACCCTATAAACCAATAGATATCTTTCCACTCAAAGCCTCCAGAAAATTAGGTTATGTCTTGAAGATAGTAAGGTGGAGATTAAAAGCACCATGATGATCAAGAGCCGGAGGTACAGCTCAGAGGCAGGGTGCTTACTCAGCATGCGTGAGTCCCTGGTTTGTTCTCCAACACTAGAAACAAGAAGAAGTAAGATTAAGATCATTAAAGATTAATAAAGACTAAAACTGACTTCTCAATGCAACATATCTGGTACCCATCACTAAAAAACCAACAATAAAAAATAATATTGCTGTTGACTTATCTCAGCGCGAGAGGGCTTCTGTAGTATGAATGCTTGTGTTAAACAGCTGGGTTACTGTATTATTTCTCCTAATTCTGCTGCGGGGAGGAAACTTTCAGGTCCTTCCACACAGTATAGTGCCTGATATGTAATTGATACTAACTAAAAATGAGATGCTTAAGTAGCTGAAAACAAAATCAGGTACTGAAAAGAGAAGAAAACCCTGGCCTTCCAAAGGACAAATCCTCATTTCGATAAATCACACAGTGTTGTGAAAGCAGTACATTCATCTTCTAGAACTGCTCAACACCGGGGCTTTTTACAACTGTGATTCTGTTCCCTGCGTGCAGAGTCAGAGTGTGTCATTTCTTTCTCAGGGGCTCTGGCTGCCTTCGCAGTGGGCCATGCGAAAGTCGACTGGGACCTGCTGGGGGAGCTGGCCCTCGCCTTCTTCTCCGTCATCAGCGCTGGCTCCCTGTTCCTCATGCATTACACCCTCAGCATCTGGCTGAGCTACGCTGGGTATCTGATTTTCAAGTCCAGCTACATGCTTCTGATAACCATCGCGGTGTGAGTATCTCCAGCCGCCTCTTGCTGCTCTTCTCCGCAATTTCAGAATCAGTTACAATGGGAAAGGTCAACTATTTCGCACTAAATTCAACACAAGCCATCTTTTCCTTTCACTGTTCTCTGATGGCTGCTAAAATTAGCCATCAAGGAAAAGAAAAGTTTTGATACATTAGAAAACAAAAGGAATGGTAGATTGTCTGGTGTGATTTTTTAAAAACTTTCCAACAGCTTTCCATGATAAATCAGAAGAAAGGATCCACTGAAAGGTTTTGATTTTTAATTTCCAACAATTTTCCATAACAAAGTGTGACGTGATTTAATTTTAAATTAGATTTCATCGGGGGCTGGGGATTTAGCTCAGCGGCAAAGCGCCTGCCTGGCAAGCGCAAGGTCGTGAGTTCAGTTCCCAGTACCGGAGAAAAACCAAAAACCAAAAAAAAAAAAAAAAAAAATTAGATTTCATCTTTAATTTCATTTAACTGCTTGAGTAATTCTAAGCATGTACTATTCTGTAAACAAAATATTCTTTAGAAATTTATAGCCTGCACGGTGGCACATGCCTATAGTCCCAGCACTCAGGAGGCTGAGGCAGGAGGATCGTTGTGAGTTCGAGGCCAGCCTGAACTGCATAGCAAGACCCTGTCTCAGAAAGATAAAAAAAAAAAAAAAGAAATTTATAACAAGTTGGATGCTGAAAAAAAGTGCTCGTAAAGAGTGTAAGAACCCTTTAGGTACAATGATTTGTACAGTCAATTGGGTTTTAACCATTTTTTTTTAAAGAACATCTTTGGAATTTAGAATTTAGGAGAATTTTTGCATCTACTCTTTAAGAATATGATCAAAAAATATTTGGTTTGCCTAGGAGCAGTTAAAGTTGAGTGTAGGAAACGTGCTTTTATATTAACAAAAGAGATGCAAAACACTTGAATTTCAAGTTGCTTATGAGAAGTGGGGATGAGCTTTATCAAGCTTTGTTTGTTTTTAATTTCTAGAAGATGAATGACAAACAACTGACAAAACACAGAAATATGAGCACCAGGGAAAGGACCATTAGGCAAAAGAAAAAGATGAAACTAGTTGGCATTTTAGTTTTCTTCACTGAAATGTCTTTGTTTAGTGGATCAAGTCCATGTGTCCTTATTTTCTTCTTTTAAGATGAGGGTTGAAAGCTTTACATTGCCTTGGAATTGGAAAGTATTTAGAACCTCAAAGCCTTTTGCCTGCACTCAAAACATGTGCCAAGATTTCAAAATCTACATAATTAAAAATTAATTAGAAATTCATTCCATTTTGCAAGTACTGAGAGTCTGGATCTTTCAAAGAATAATTCACCTACTAAACTTAGTTGGTGGAAGTAATTGATGCAAACTGAATAATGATTAGAAAAAAGACAGCCCTCTGATTCAGTAACCATATCTACAATCAAATAATACCCAGTATTACAAGAAATTGACAATAAACTGAATAAAACTAAAAAAACTTACACAAATTAACCATATCTAAAATCAAATGAACACCCACTATCTGAAGTTATGAGAACTTAGAATACTTATGCTTAAGTACGGGAAAGGGTTGCACTTTATACAAGTAATTTTGCTGTTCTGCCTTTAATTCAACCTTTATAAATTTATAAATATGTACAATATTTAGTTCCTTCACTTTCTTCTGCCTATGTGTGATAGAGGAGGAGGTTTAAACAAGTGCCACTAATGACACTATTTTCTCTTTATTTTCTACCTTTTAAAGACAAGGGTCTTGTGTTTGTTATGGTTCAAATATTTATTGAGCATTTAATGATAGATTTCAGATTGCGGTTAATCTGAGTGTGGAACGCTATGCCCTGGTGTTTGGAATAAACACTTTTATTGCCTTGGTGATTCAGACTATCATGACTTTGATTGTAGTAGATCCCAGAGGGCTCAACCTGGCAATCAGCATTCAGGTAAGCTGTACTGCTTCTGCTTTGTTTAGTGGCTGGGAATATAGACTAACTAGATGTCCTCCAAGATTTCTCAACCTTACAGTTAGCAATACTTAATTTTTCTTGAATTTCTTAGTTAAGCAAATTTTAAAACATGCTGTTCCTTAATTATATAATAACACTGAGTAGGATTTGAGTAATAATTGCAGTTAGTTCAACACTTACCTGATTAAGGCAGGTAAGAAGTAACCTCAATGTCTAAAACTCAATCTTAGAGACCCTGAATGTAGCATTCTACCAGGTTCCAAATATATAGGACACATAAGTAGAGTATCTTTGTCATGACTGATGATAGGAGCCAGGATGTGAACCTAAGCAGTCTGCTCTGAAGCCACAGACTCTTAAAGCATTGCTTACATTTTTATATTTGATTCCTTTAAGACAGTGCAGAGTGTCATCAATCTAAATAATCCATAGTTAAGCTCTAAGTTTTAGTACTCCATAAGCCAGACACACTAATGGCATCATTGCATATTATCAGTGAGTATATAGTCAGATTTTGTATGTGACTAATCATTTGCTTTTCTTCAGTTTTTAGTTTATGGGAGTTATTTTGCTGTCATTGCTGGAATTTTCCTAATCAGAAGCACATACATTCTCTACTTGGTCAAATGCCAGAAAGAAGAACAGAGACTACCTACAATTCAGAGTCCAGCTAAGCCACACACAGAGGAGCCAATTAATACCGTCCTGTCAACAAAGCTCTAACCTTATTGTATCAGTACAGTAGTTTTCAAATCAGTGACTAAAAGGGTGGGATTTTGAGATGGATATACGGACATGTTCGATAAGCTGGATCCCAATGGACCTTTCAAAAAGCACGACAGAACCTTAGCTTTAGACCGTATATCTATGTGCACAGCTGAATTGCGTGCAGTTGGCAAAGCCCATCACAGTTAAAGAACCCATGTTGGAAACCCATGTGCATAGAAACCTAGTCCTGATCACTTCTAAGAACATGCAAATGGCACAAAAACAAACCAGGAAGAAACACCACCCCTCCTGGTGGACTCCTGCCCACCAGTGGATGGAAATCCTAACTGGACTGACCCTATATTTGGGCTAGGTGCTTCTTGTGACTGAAGGAGGCAACACAAGGGGCATTTTGGTCACATGAGCCATTTTTCTTCCTCTTCCAGCAAGTGTGCTTCTGGTTTAACTTCTACTCTGAGAGAATTACAAAGGTTGATCTCATTTCTAAAGAGTCTTTCTCAACCTTATAAACCTTGCATTATCCACCAGCTATGGTTTGATACAATCACTATTTTTATCTTTTATAATTATTTTTCATTTTTGCTTTTTTGAGCTTTGCGCTATAACTACCTCAGAAATTGCTAACAGGTAACTGTGTGTCACTGGATGACACTGAGCTAGAAGAGGTATTGTTAACCCAGTCTGTGTATTAATGTTCTATCAGTATAATGTCTAAAGTAGAACACTAGAAGAAATTTCCAGAGGTTTCTAGTAATATTTATAAATGAAGAATACTTGGAGGAATTAGATGCCTGATATTTTTATTCATTTATTTTTTACTTTCTTTTTTTGGTGCTAGAGATTAAAACCAAGGCCTCATGGGTGCTAAGCAGATCTGTCATTGAACTACACCCTAGTTCCCGAAATACCCAGCCAGCTTTGCCACACCCTAATCTCCTATGTCAGAACATACTATCTTGCATGCCTGGAACTGACTTGTATAAAATTTTTTCATTACAGTATTTTTTAAAGACCAAAGAATTTTAACTAAAGTTCAAAGGGAACAGGGAAAATATGTTATGGTGCATTGTATAATCACCTGTAATAACAACATTAAAAATGAGAAAATACTTTAAACAGCAACATAGAAAGAGCTCTAAAATACATCAAGTAGAAAAAAAAGTTAAGCGCCAAAATAATAATAAATGCAGTAAATTCATAATCTGCATAAAAGGAAGAAGACTGGCCAAATTACGTGTGCATATAATTTTTCTGTAAGTACAAACATAATGAGTAACAGTAATTACCTGCTATCAAGTAATGAAGGGGGGATACTTCTCCTGATATTTCATGTTTTCAGCCTATGAAGCACCCACCCCCAAATAAAATCCTGCTTCAGAAAAAAAGTGTTTAACCTTGGAAAATTAGCATTCAAGTATAAGGAACTAGCGATTTGTTATATGTAACCACCACCCTGATGGTTTTACAGTTTTTGCAATGTACATAAATAACTAAATGTGCATTTACAATTAAAAGGAAAAGCAAGAGAAGAAAAACAGATCTAGCACTAAAAATTAAGTGAAATGCTCTATTTGTTACGTCATTAAAGAAAAAATGTTTTCATTTGGTTGTTGTTGTTGAGTTAAATCCTTTTATGTAAGTGCCAGCCACATAGGCTCAGCTCATGGTCATCCCCACACCAGTTCCTGTTCCCCTGTCCAAAGTCAAGCACATAGAAATAGTACAGCTTGAATTCAGGCATGTCTGACCACAAGAGCTGTGATCTTTCCACTGTGGGATATAATGTGTCTTCATTAAAGACAAAGACCACTAGAGGACCCCCAAGTCAGCAGAATATCAACTCAAAGAACTGCGAGAAATTGAAATGGTGTGAGTTTTTAAAGGATTTCTGGATTTTCTCAGATGTAAGTAGGAGTCATTTTGATCTAAAGAATCTTCCTATTTCAAAAACAGAAATTCTATGTAATTATGCTCTACAGGAAACCATAAAAGTCAGGGGAAAGTATAAAGGATCACGTGGTCTCTTTTAAAGCACTCACTCAGAAACTAGCAGGAAGATAAATTGGGTCAGTAGACAAACATGCTATTCCATAGAATGCTGGAGACCAAAGGACAAGATCTGGGAGGAATAGTTAAATCAGCATGCTCAGGTCAAGAGAGTTATGACCAGAAGAAATTACCCATAGTTGAACTGAGTCCTGAGTTTGAGCTTTTGAAAACACTTTGAAATTTCAATTTTATCAGGGCACTTACCTTCTCTTGGAAGTAGTAGGCTGGATCCAATAAAATAGCATATAAAATTATTGCGATTTATACTCAGAACATCAATTCTCTCCTATAAGTATTTGAATTATAAATATCAAGTATTTTAAAATATGGTCTATCTTGAACATGAGAAAAAAATTTTGTTGATTTAAAAATACTATGACTTCACAGCAGGTAGCCACTCTTACCAGTTGCATTTATGCTTGTAGAAAAATTGTGCGGTCATTTGGGGTTGATACGTTCCTTCTCTGAAAGTAGGAATTACAACAATGATTATCTGAAGGATATTCCAGTTAAGAGATATAATCCTGCAATCTATTCACATTTATTTTGTATTGCTCTAGAGTAAACCTGTTGCCACAACTGTATTATTGATCCTTCCACAGGCAATTTTGCCAAGCTTAAAACACATCTTTAAGAACACATGAATCTGCTTGTTTCCAGTTCATTAAAAGCTATGGACTGAAAAATTGTTTATATTCTATCGACAAGAATGGAAAGTTTTCTTAAGATTTAACTGTTAAGAGCCTTATGCCTATTTACTTCTTTTCCTTCCTAACAAAATTCTATAAACTTTGTCTCATCATTGAATTCTGACCTAGGAGACCATCACAAATGCATCATGAAAAGATGATTTGGAGGTGATTATTCCTGAATGTCCCTTCCATTTCAGCTGAGGGTGAACATTGTTAACCTGTCTCAAAATAACCATTAGTCTTTTCATTAAGAGCAAGGAACCAGGAAGGAGCCATCAATCAGATTAACTTTATCAAGAATTATCCCATAACCATGATGTAAACTAGAAAACAGTTTGGGAACATAATCCCAGTTTTATAAAATATAATCATTTTGGTTTTGAGTAAAGACATTCCAACATCAGTCTTGTTACCTGATTTCAGCTTTATTTCATCATAGATCACGGCTGAAATTTATTGAGCTTTTCCTAGGATATTCCTATGGTAATCACTTCTACATAGAGGGTTTTTTTGTTTTGTTTTGTTTTTGTTTTTTTTTGTCTGACAGAACAGCCAAAACAGTTTTTCATCTCTTATATCAGAGTCAGAGAGAAATGCAACTTCAAAGAAGAAAGCATGCTGGTTTTATATTTATTTTCTGAGACTTCTGTTATTCTTGGATAATAATAACTTTTGACATTCTTTTAGTTATCTTAACTAAGAGTAGATGAGCTTTGTTTAATCTCACTTGTCTGCCTTTCTGGACACACACACATACACACACACACATATAACAAGATAGTACTGGGTGGTTGGGATTCAAAGTACTCAAAGCTTTACGTGTATCTCAGATTGCAGAGTTTGACCTTGATCTTCCAGATGGTCCTATTGCCCTTGATTTAAGATTAAAATCTTATGAGGTAAAAAAAGTCTTTAATGAAGATCATTGCCATGCTGGGTGTGGTGGCACATGCCTGTAATTCCAGCACTCTGGGAGGCTGAGGCAGGAGGATTACAAGTTCAAGCCTAGGCTGGGCAACTTAGTGAGTTAGCAAGACCTTGTCTGAAAAAAATGAGTGCTGTCCCCGAAAGGAATATGTATTCTTCTTTGAAATCATTTCCCATTCTTAGCATTACCAGCAGGGGCCTAATCTGCCTGCAGTCTTCGTCCCAGTAAATCTACAGGCACTGAAATACAAACAAAAGCAGATATAGAGCTACAACATTCTGCTTACTTCGGGGTAAAAATGCCACTTAGACAAGTTTTGTGAAAATAATTGCCCAGCAAGAAACGTCCTTCTTTCTTCTCCAAATACCATTTGCCTTTCCCAGGTCTCTGTCCCTCATTTAAATGATTACCACATGCTCTGTTACAGCCACAGAAAGAAAATGCCCTGGTGTACTTGATTTGTCTGTCTCCAATGGAAGACTCTCCAGTCAAATCCAAGAAGAGGGTGAGTGTGGAATGGCACTGATTAGAAGCCTAAGTGTCGCTGCTTGTGTGGCTTCACCGAGAGCAGATCGAGGAGAAATCAGTTTGCCAGGCAAACAGAATTTAGGTACAGTCGCACCCCAGACAGCTCCAGGGTGGGAAAGATTAAGTCAAAACAAAAGCCCAGGCCAGATTCAGTCCATGAGATCTGCTGGGATCGTGACCCACCTGCTACGAAATGAGGGGATGGGTTGGCCATTCCCAGTAACTCCTAACGCCTCCACTTGACATCTTTCATTCTGCATACTGCTTCTACCTCCAGACATTTAAGATATATCGAATGACACCTTTCGCTCAAGCATTTGATGTTTAAGTGTTCGATATAGAAATTTAATGATGATCTGTGGATGCCAAATTTTAAGGATCTAGTACATCATGAAATATGCCTCAGCCTGAAATGTGTGTGGCATATTTCACGTGACATGGTATCAGCACCAGGTTGGGCTGTGTATCAGAGAGGGCTTCTGAAGCTGGTGACATCACATGTGCTCTTAGACATCTGCTGTATTAGACATGTCTTTCAGTGTCACAATAGGTTGAGGAATTCCATTCTAGTGCTTTAAGCACAGTAACACATGCTTGGGCTCACATACATTTCTAACCTTACTGCCTAATTGTCTCAGTGCTTTTTTACTGTGTTTCCGATCACTTGATATAACTATCAGGATCAGGTGATGCGGGGGTGGGGGAGAGGAGGGGAAAGGGATGAAAACCAGGCATGAAGATATATGTGTACATGGAACGACTCCACACAAGAAATGTAAACATCATGTACTGCAAACACAGACTAATAAAAATTTTTAAAACTTAAAAAAAAAGATTCAAATAGGTAAAATAACTTTCCATATACTCATGTCTAACATAACATGAACTTGAACTCACAACAATCCTCCTGCCTGTAGTATGGCTTATTTAGGTCTTTCCTGTTTTTTTTTTAAAAAAATGCCACTTATTGATTTTTAACATTTTCTGCTTGTTCATTTTTTGCTTCTTAGTAACTTGGTTAGAGCTTAGAAAAAAGAAAGTTAAGAAAGTGAAAATCATACCAGTGTGTTTGGGTTCGGAATGGAAACTTCTAAGAGACAGTGGACATGAATTTTTAAAGTGGAGTGAGATTTTCCCCACTTTTACACGAGCTGCTGGCTTCTAACCACAGTTACTATGGTGAGTCAAAACTGACCTTTTTTGTTTCTGAGTGTTTACAGTAAAAAGACCCATTTATAAACAGCTCTTACTTGGGGTATTCTTACAAACCAAGTGGATGCCTTTGAACAAGATGAATGGACAAGACAATAATTAGAAAAGATTATCCTACGAGGACAGGCAGCTTGTGACATAAAAACTATATGCCATGCTCAGAATATACACACATTCATACATAAACTGGTTAGGAGGTGTAGAGGTAAGCCTCAATTTTTAGTGCTATACGGAATAAGATGTGAACAGGACCCTACTGGTTATTTTAATCACTGATGGGCCTAAGATGCACTTATATTTGAAAAGCTTCAGTCAGACTGGAGCTCACCATTAATGCCTTTCCAAACTTTCGTTCCAACCTCAAAGCTAACTGCACAAAACCAATCAAGTTCTAATATCCAGTACTGGGCAACACCGGCGCCCTCCTCACTTCCTCCAGCTAATCAGCCAGATGGCGTTCACATAGGGTTTGATAGTTTTCTTTAATATGGACGTGATTTATTTTAAGAATTGGAAGAACAATTTCTTTTTTTTTTTTTTGGTTTTTCTCCGGTACCGGGAACCGAACTCACGACCTTGCGCTTGCCGGGCAGACGCTTTGCCGCTGAGCTAAATCCCCAGCCCCCTGGAAGAACAATTTCTATAAAGGGGCGACAAAGAATATGATTTCACTCAAAGCCACCTTCATGGAGACCTGGTCCGAGACCAGCCATGACTGGCCAGTTACGACGACCCTTTACGGTACATAAAGACGCTTCTGTACAGTGATAGGTAGGCTACACACACCCTATCATTTGGGTCCAGTGAGCTTTCGAAAACATCAACGCAGTCCAGTTCCTGTTTGGAGGATAATGCTTCACGCAACAATAAATAAAATGGAAGTAAAAATAATATTTTACCACTTGATAGCTCATATATGTATTTCATGTGTTAAAATGCCTCACTACTATGAGTAAATTATAAGATTAGAAGAAAATATCTACAAATTGTGTATACAGTTATAGTTGTTTCCAGTAAGTCAACAACTAAAACGAACAAAAATTTACCAATAGTAAAATGTGGAATATTATAGACATAAACTTATCTCCCCATTTCTTTTTTTTTTTTTTTTTTTTTGTCCTTTTTGAGACAGGGTCTCACTATGGTGGCCTTAAGCTCACTTTGTAGCCTAGGCTAGTCTTGAACTCACAACAATCCTCCTGCCTCAGCTTCCCAAGTGCTGGGATTAAGGCATGCACCACTACACCCAGTCTTAACTGCCAAATATTGAAAGTTCTTTTTTTTTAGACAGTGCTTGGTATCAAACCCAAAGCCTTGCTAGGCAAGTGCTCTATCACTCAGCTATACCGCCAACCCCTGAGAGCTAATTTTTAAAATTAACTGTAAAGTGAATAAATGAATCAAATCAAGCGATGCTTTCATTTACTGTTTTTTAAATGACTGCCAAGCAGCGTCTGAAAACAGATGACAGCAGACGTGTTTTTGCAAGTTGTACTGTTTGGAACATTAGTGATTAATTGAAGCAACTGCTACAACGTCTCTCCAAGATTTCACAGTGATGTATCAGTGAAGAGGTATTTTTCAAAAGAGAAGCACTATTTACTTAGGTTCTTCTTTTATATCTAATTGTCTATACTACAAAAACCTTCATAAATATTCCTTTGTAACATTGTGCAGTGTCTGACATCAGCCTGCCTGCAAGCAGGGTGCAGATTGTGTGTCCTAGTGTCATAGAATTTGTTTCTGGAGTACAGCGATTACACTCAGAAAATGTTGAGCTACATCTTCAGCCTGATTCATGTTTTATTTTGAGACATGGTCTTGTGTTGTCCAGACTTGCCTCAAACTTGGGATCCTCCTATCTCAGCTTCCCACATATTTTGGATTCTAGGCTTTGGAGAAATATTTTAAGTACTTTAGTTTTGTACATGGGATAAATGTGGTACAACAAGAAAAACGGCTCATAGACAGAAGACAGAAATGCAGAGGCAGAAATGGCAAGAGAATTACTGCTGCTAAGAAGAAAAGCAGTCCATGGTTGGCTCTGGCTTGTTCAGACCCACCTTGGGTTTGTAATTAGCCTTTCCTCAGGTGCGATGTTTAGGATTGGTTTGGGGAAGTTATCACGGAAGAGGGACATGATCCCTTGTGACAAGCAGGGGAGGCAGGGGCCCCTGGCACACACAGCAGAGGGCTGTGGGCGCTGGAAATACCTCAAGGAAGCCCTGATCCCATGAGAAGGAAAAACGACAGGGGGCTAAGTGTGGGGGACAGGTCCTCAGAGCCCTGGAGGTGACCTGCACGGTGACTGTGTGCTTAAATTACTGTTATTTCACATTTGTCACTCAACATGTTCGAAACCAGAGAACCCTTATGTACACCGTTTGCATCACAGAATAAAAGCAGAGTCATTCACAGTTATTTCATTTTATTAGGAAAGTTAGGCAACAGTTATTGTAGCGACTGGAAAGAACAATAATAGGAAAAGTGGGAAATCCAGATACAGAGAGCGAAACTATAAAGTTGGAGGCAAAAGAAATACCCATCAAATAAAACCCATGGAAAGTGCCCGGAGAGGTGGACTGAACTGCAGGTAGTGGGCGAGGGTTACAGTTTTGTAATGGTCACTTCCAGGATGAAATTTTGTATATAAAAGGTTTTAGACTATTGGGCTCAAAGAGATGAGCATCAAATCCAAAGGACTAAGTTTCAGGACATCCAGGTGATTCCAAGTAGAAACGTCTGGGCCAGAATCAGACAGAGGGATGGAGGTAAGGCTCATTAGCTGCAGAGAGCAAGTCTCAGCATCTCTCTTCCTCCAGGCAGAGCCGGGTGGCCCAGCTAGCAGCAGCACTTCTTCTGGCAGCAGCACTTCTGCTGGCAGCAGCCCTTCCCACAGCCGCAGCCACAGGAGTTACAGCAGGTGCGGCGGCAGCAGACGACCACGGGGGTGCTGCAGCAGCCCCCACAGCAGCCACGGCAGCAGGGGCAGCAGTTAGAGCAGCAGCCAACCCGGTAGCATCTGCAGGTGGTGCAGCTGTTGCAGCCTCCACAGCTGCCACAGCCTCCACAGCTGCCACAGCCTCCACAGCTGCCACAGCTGCCACAGCCTCCACAGCTGTTACAGCCACCACAGCCTCCACAGCCACAGCAACCCATGTTGTCGGTAAAGAGGACTCAGGTGAAGTGAGGAGAGAGGACTCAGGAAAGCAGGAGTGTGATGCCTACTTCTGCTGGGGCCCTTTTATACCATCTCGAGGAGGATGGTGATGGAGTGACCCAGGACACATGACAAACAGCCACTTCCTCATTACTATTTATTCCAGTATCCAGAAAAGAATGTAGAGTCCTTTCTTATTTATACCCTTACTAGAAATTTGGCTTAATAAAACTGCTAAAATTTAAAGCTTCCATACTAAAACAGGGTATCACATACTTTAAAAACTCAGAAGGTGTCTCAGATAGGAAAGGGAAAAGTGAACACCTACTGATTCAAGAAAAGAAAGAAAATAGAAGGGGAAAGAATAAGCTGGCGTGCATGGTACCTCATGGTTCTGGGATAACCTATCCAATTTGACAGCATAATCCCAAGCATTCCTGGCCCATGTGGAGTGGCAGAGACCAGAAAATCTCTGTGATCTGGAAAGGTACAGAGCGGACCTGGTTCAGACAACAGGTTTACCTGCTCTTGGGCCATTTAGCTTTATTCCACCATCATATCCTAAATCTCCTTATGGCCTTATATGAGTTGAAAGACTTACCAGATGGGGGAGTTATGTGTTCCTCGGAGAAAACCACTGCCCCCTGTAGACACACAGTTCAACGTACATACACTTCTGATAGTAACATAAGAGCAAGGCCCAGTCTTCTGAGAAAGGAAGTGCTGAAGCAAAGAAGGGATGAGCATGTGGGTGACCTCCGTCATCAGTGATGCTAAAAACACTTCTCCATCCTTGGGGTAAAAAATAGCCCTAAATACTGGGTAACCACAAGTTTAAGATGGACAGTCCGTAGCCTGAAGTAAAGCAGTCTACATTCTTTCACTTATGTGAGAGGAGAATAAGCACATGGTCCAACTTTAAACTTCAATAGTAAACTTACTGGTAATTACTCAGGTGGCGCCTAAATGTGGCTCATAACTCCTAAGCTAGCAGAGATAGAAAAGGGGGCAGGTAGGGGCTGGGGATTTAGCTCAGCAGCAAAAGTGCCTGCCTGGCAAGTGCAAGGTCGTGAGTTCGGTTCCCGGTACCGGAGAAAAACCAAAAAACCAAAAAAAAAAAAAAAAAAAAAAGGGGGGGGGCAGGAGAAAAACAACAGCAACTACACACACTAAAAGAAGGCAAAAATGGAAAAAACACAGCAGGATGGATAAGGAAAGCAAGAAAACATAGGTGAAAATGACAAATGAATGCAAGTGCATAATGATCATAATAAAAGAATAGAATGTTCTCTTCAAGTATACATAAAACATTTATAGAAATGGATCTTGTCCAACACACAAAATGTCTCAAAAATTAATAAATTGGAATTGTATAGACTATGTGTTATGGCCACAATGCAATTAGGTTAAAAATCAATGACAAAATATTTTTCCTTATTTTTAGAAATATAGAAACACTTCTAAATATTTCATTAATCCAAAGCATATAATAAAAATTAGAAAACCCAAGAACAATGAAAGCAATGTAGCTACAGAACTTCTCAGAGAAATTTATAAATCTAAAGTGTATGTTTGATAAAAAGTAAGACTAATTGTTCTTAAATTATTCATTCAATTTAATAGATTCGAAAAATTAACAATCCAAGTAAAATAAGAAGAAAATAATAGGGATATGTATAGAAAGTGATATAATAGAACCTAAACACAAAATAGAGTCATCTAAGTCAAAAGTGAATTCTTCAAAAATAGTAATAAAGTGTATGGCGCTCTGGAAATATTAGTCACCAATAAGGACATCACACCCTTCCAAAAATAATACTGTGAATTAAAACTATATCTTTATACTACTAGTTTATCTTACTTCATTGAAAACAAAAGTTTTATATTAATATCTGTTTCTTTTTGTAACAATTTTTTGGTTTATATCTCATTCTCTGAGTAGCTAGTTTGCAGATAATAATACACAGTGTAATAATCATTCTGTTATTCTTTAATTATGAAATTTTGTTTTATTTTTCCATAAAATACAAGAAAGATATGTAATTCTAGATACAGCAGAGATTAAAGGACAAGAATATTGTGAACTAATTTGTACCAAAAAACTAGGAAACAGACAAAATGGACTTAAAAAAATATACTTTATTGAAATTGACTAGAAGAATCAGAATGCAGGAGTTGATTTTCAACTATTAAAAAGATTGCATCAAAAGTTTAAAATCTTTCCATAAAAAGGAGGAGCAGGAAAAGCAGATACACAGAAAAAAAAAATAAGATCAAGCAGAACTCAGAAAAGGTAATTCATTCAGTCTGCCTTCCTCGCTGACCGAAGAGGAGAGAGTGCAGCTTGGTATTCCCACAGAAGTAAAGATGAATGTGTTTACATGGGTAGCTTCTTCAAGAGCACAAATTAGGGATGGAGACAAATTAGGATGCAGACTTTCCTGACAACCTTCCTACAAATCTCTGCACATTGCATGATTTGGGGAAAGCTACTTAACCCTGCTGTACTTCAGTTTTCTGATCTGTGAGATGGGCACAAGCATGGCCATACTTCATGCACTGTTGTGATGATTAAATGGGTTAAGCCATGCATGTCAAGTACCCGCACAAGTACTCGGCATACCATCAGGGCTCAGTCTTGACTGCTATTACTATTAACAGTTATTCTTGTACGTTTCAGATGCCCAGGCATACACATTTTCTTGAGCTGCCCAAGTTTTGAACCAGATGTCATATTGTCAGCATTATTCTAGGACAGTCATGGTTCCAAAGATTTTATGGTATTCCCTAATTGTATAGCAGAGCATGTGCTCTGGGGAACTATGGTCACTGCGCTAATGGGAAGAGTGGCGATCTTGACAGCAGTTACTCTGTGGGAAGCTGAAGATGCGAATTGCATTGAAGCAGTCCTG